CCCGCTAACTAAGAAGGGTTCAAATTAATTTGTCTTTACAACTTTTTCAAATTTTTTAGGAAGTATTTTTCTACGAGTCATTTACTCACTGGCTTCATGATGGTCGAACAAAAAGCCCTTGAAGAAAAGACGTAGCGTCGAATAAATTTGCTTTCAATCTGGCACTTTTGGGCTTTTTATGCTATTTTAAGATCTTTTAAACGTCTTATCTCCTAGGATCAGAAATATCCAGCAAGTATGCAACCGTGCAAAGGCAACCCATTGCCCGTGCTGCTTAACGTCCGAAGTGCCATTTAAGATTGCTAATCTTTCAAACAACTTAACTTGCAGTATAACCGTAGTTGCTGGGGCTGCTGCCTTCAAAAGAGTCATTCGACGTAGTTTCTCAAGATCAAAGCCTTTTGCATTCCGCTAGTTTCAATTGTCACGTTAGCTTCAGGAACTTTAAGTCTAAGATTGACGTTAAATTTCTTTTATAGATGTCGTCCGTTGTCAAACTTGAGCCCCTATCCGGTGTGAAAGATGAAGGCCCGCTGTGTTATTTGTTGCAGGTGAACCTTTGCTGAAATTCCATTTTTGTAATTTATTAATGAAGAATTTTTTGAAATCGCTTAAAAACTTGTATTTCAGATAGAAGAAACCTATTTATTATTGGACTGCGGTTGGGATGACAAATTCGACATGGCCTACATAGAATCCATAAAATCACGAGCATCCCAGGTCCGATATCATACATAAGTTCGCAAATGTTTTCTCAACAAGTCCAAGTATATGTTAGTCTGGGCTGTTTCAGATTTCTGCTGTTCTCATCACACATCCAGATCAACCGCATTTGGGTGCATTAGCGTATCTCGTGAAATATTGTGATTTAACGGCGCCAATTTATTGCACGGTAAGAATTTCGTTCGCTCATTAGTTTTGTTAGAATAATTTAGATTTCTTTGAAGGTTTACTCTTTGTTAACATATCCATTTATATCAAACGATTTATTTTTAGAGAGCTTTTTCATGTTGGATAGTCCAGTAGTGTTTTCCATATATGCATTTTCTAACTAATTTCCATGTGGTACTTTAGGTGTGACATAAAGGGGAAATGAGGCGCTTCATTTGTTTCACTTAATTTTTTGCAAAATCGTGCTAATACCTATTAGATTTTGTGTGGGTCATTCTAGTCACTTAAAGGAAGGACAGGAGTGCTAGTTATTGGGAAAAGATTCTCCATAAATGTGAGTTAATGAATACCTGCGGGTTGAGGACATACAAAATAGGTACGAGGGAGTTTTAATTGCTGTTCTTTTTTAATTCTGACTATTGCGAATACTTCCTTCTCCTGATTTTACTCAGATCTTGCCAATTCTGTATACTTTCTTTCGTATACTCAAAAACGATGACCCTCACTGCTGTAGTTCATTTGGCCAGAAAAAAATTAGAGAATATGGAGCGCTCACTGATATTCGATAGTTTCTTGTTTAGGTTCCAGTATACAAAATGGGTATGATGTTCATGTATGACTGGATCAATAGTCTCATCAGCGTCGAGAACTTTGAATTATTCACATTAGATGACGTGGACGTTGCATTTGATCGAATACAAAAATTGAAGTTCAATCAAACAGTAGGTTAAATTTTTGTCAGCTCTTTGTTTTGTTAATTTTTCCCTCAGCTCACTGTTTCTACTTTCTGGCTGTTCATGATTTGATTTTTTATATTGTCATTTCACTCTTCCTTTACTACAATTTACTCTTTTCTTTTTCTGTAACGAATGCCTTTGACTTATTCTTTTTCGTCTTTATTAATGTTTCAGTGTGTTCCTTAGTTTCCCTCAATTACACTGGTTGATATTCCTTCCTACTCCATTTATTTCTCGAAGTCACGTGTATGTTCTGCCTATGGAGTTCTCCCCTGAATTCTTTGTTTTTCTCATACTCTCAGTTGTCTTTTTGTCCAACCTCTAACTTTAATGTTTTCGTATCTCGTACCTACGGATGCTCAGCTAACATGTTGCTTATGTCTTCACAGAAGTATGTTTACACTCGAGATTTTCCTACATTCCTTACAAGAGAATTTTCGCAGGTGCCACTCCGTGGTGATAGCCAAATTAAAATCACTGCCCTACCTGCTGGACATATGATCGGTGGAGCTATGTGGCGAATCACGCGTCACGACGAGGAGGATATCATTTATGCGGTAGACTATAATCACAAAAAGGAACGTCATCTGAATGGATGCTCTTTCGACAGTGTGTTTTAATTGTATTCGCTTTTTTTTATTCGGTCGGGCTCTAAAAGTGGGGAGACTATCCATGGCTTTGGGTGAAGTGATCCGTCGTCTGCATTCCAGTGTAGATTCTTGTAAGATCTTTTGTAGCTGAACTGAATGCATTAACTCTTTTATACGGACAATCAACTAGACTGTTTGCGGCTCTTGTTGGTCGGCTGAATGACATGGCGAGCCTGCAAGCTTGGCCACATAAATGCCTATGACTCGTTCAGTCAAGCATAGTCGTCTGGCGCAAACTACGATGTAGGTACTATAAAGTAGATTGGAAAATACGCCTCACGTCCTCTTTAAACAGCATGTGCAAGTTATCACTAAGTATGTAGAGTCCTGTAAAAATGTAGAGCCCGATCGAAGCCATTTTTTGAAACGCTACTTTTTTTATCCCAAAATTTCCAGCTATTCTGAGACCTTATTTGTTGATCACGGACTCTTTAAATGCTCTCTACACTCAACCGAGAAGGAAGGAACGAGATGAACAACTGGTTACAACTATTTTGAAGTAAGTGATGTGTTCGAAATGTACCTCAAGATTCATTCGAGTATTACCAGATTCTTTATCGACTATTTTCTGTTTTTATTGGAAGGAAGATTGTTAGCTTTTGCACCATTGAAAATTCCTTTTTTGTAGAACGGTCCGTCAAAATGGTGACTGTGCTATAGTGATTGATACCGGAGGTCGGGTGCTCGAGATCGCTCACTTATTAGATCAGCTGTGGGCCAAGTATGTTGCAGTTAACTTCATTTTTGAATAGTATGTTGAGAACTGAGTGAGGTATTCAGTACTCAGTCCGGTCTACAAAAGTATAATCTTGTAATGATGAGCCATGTTGCCGCGTCTGTAGTCGAGTTCGCGAAGTCTCAAGTGGAATGGATGTCAGACAAAGTTCTGAAGTAGGTTTTCGGCTCATGTTGGCTTCTTCTCAACCTCAACTCTTCGGAATATGAAAATTTTTTGAAATTAATTCAGATTTTTTATTGTACAACCCAAACACCCCATCAAATATCGCGGGCACTCACTCTTCATGTTTTAGGAGCTTCGAGATGGGTCATACAAATCCATTTTTACTACGAAACGTCAAACTGTGCCATTCACAAATTGACTTGGCAAGAGTTCGTTCACCAAAGGTTCGTTGTCTCTTCTGAAAACTTGAGCGATGGGTTGTGATTATGAAGTGGAAGGTACCCGTTGTGGATGGTACTTATTTCCTCAGAAGCAGGATTGGTGGGGCTCATGCGCTGAACCCTGCGAAATAGTGGGTCACTGGGTGATTTTCTTCACCGATCGTCAGGGAATAGCTATGGTATTCGAATCAGTGTTTTTCCTTCAATTTCGAGCCAAGTTAATAGCTGAACGAATTTGGGAGACCCGAATGAGAATTTTTTGGGTCATACAGAGCGGTTCTGCGAATAGTGCTCTTTTTTGGTTACACTTGTTGAGATTTCCTTGTTTACTATCAACTGACCCTCTTTCTTTTTCCTAACTTTTTATTTCCCCAATGTATTATAGTATCTCTTCATTAGCTGGTGTCATTTCTATTGCAGATAGACTATCTTTGAGCTTTAAAATAGCTCAAGCCAGGCGGGCTGTTAGGCTGAGGTCGCATATACATACATGTTGCAAAGATGAGAGCTACACTGATGCCTGCGTTTTTGAACACTGATCTCAAATCCACACCCCTAAAAGGCGAAGCGATTCTGCGAATAAAGTTGCGGGCGCATTTCTTAAGCGTGGCTAGGGATTTGGTAAGGTTCGTGGGCACCTAGTTCTATTGCGACTCTGTTTCCTTCCCTTATAAGCAGTTAGTCCCTTGTCTAGGTGTTTCTTTCTAATTTCCCCGAGAAACTATTTCAAACTCGTCTCGAAAGGTTTACTAGAACACATTTGTACAGAATACTTTTGTTTCCTACGGTAATGAGTTCCCTAATTATGGTGGTTATAGGTAGTATTGTGCAGTGGAATTGATATGGAGTGTGGCTATTCTCGAGAGCTCTTTCTGGACTGGTGTACTGACAGTAGAAATTCGTTCATTATAACAGGTATTATTAGAGCTATTCTTGAATTGGAGCGGTTCCATTTTTGCTTTACAAAAGAATGCTCTTTGTACAGGTCGATCGAGTGAGCGGACTTTGTGTTCGAAACTGATTTACATGGCCGAATGCTTGGCGACAAATGCAAGAACAAACCGAATTGTTGCCTTAGAGGTGAAAAAAAGAGTTCGACTGGAAGGAGCAGAGCTTGAAGCGTATAAGAAGAAGAAACTACAAAAAGACAAAGAAGAGGCGAGGCGAAGGTGGGAAATAGTCCAACTTTAGATCGTATAAATATCCATGAAATATCATATCAATAAATATCACTTTACCTTGTAGATTGGAAGAGCAAGAGAAGCGCCAAGCAGAACTGCGTGGATTCGACTCGGATGACGATGATGAGATCATGGCGAGCGCTTTAGTGGCTGTGGAAGCACTGTGTACAAAGAAGAAACGTGAAGAAGAGCAGCAGGCAGCTGCGGTGGCTGCAAGGGAAAATGGCACGCGATCGCCGGCCAACACTCCCATGATCGTCGACCCAGCGCCGACGAAAGAGTACGATTCTGGAATAGAACCCGAAGAGGACTCTTTTGGTAGTAACTGACTCATGATTTATAAATTTTATTTCCAAAATATCGATTTCCTTTAGCAATTCCCGGCTTGACCGTGGCGAAGACACGAACAGTATCCGAGCACTTAAGCGACGCTCCTGCCTTCGTCCCAACTGGCCCAGCGTTCCCCACAAGGAAGAGACGTCCTGTTAGGCACAATATCACTATGCAAGCAATGATGCGATACAGGTATACCGTGACATTTCTAACAAGAATGCAGTCTTCTAATTTCGATTTCGACTTTTTTNTTTTTTCTCTCTTCCCAAAGTGCTGTAATGGATTCATGAGCATCCTTGATGTTGCTATCAATTATTTCTTTTGAGGATGCCATTCTTCAAAAGATTCATGCCAATTCTTCTCCCAATGTATCCTGTTTTGGAGGAAAAAGTCAAGGTGGTGAAACAGCCGTTATATGTACAATAAGTACCGGAAGTTAAACAGTTGAATTGGAACGTTTTCCAGTGGGATGTTTATGGCGAAAAGTACAGGCCAGAAGATTACACAGTATCGAAGCTACGAGTCCATTTGCCTGTCCCGCAGGAGATAATCAAAGAAGCAGACGATCCCACAGCAAATATGGCGGTGCCAGTAACGGATGATGCCCCAACAAAGTGTATCACGGTCATAGAAAAAATCGAAGTTAGTGACTTTTCATCATACCAGATCCACTTTGGTTGTTTTTTGTTCAGGCATTATTGTTTATTCCATCACTAGAAATTCTTATATTGTCAACAATCAATTGCCATGTCTCGGACCCTTTTTTTGATTGCAGGTTAGCTGTAACGTGGAGTACATTGAGTTTGAAGGCCGATCGGATGGTGAATCTACGAAAAAGCTTATCGCTCAGATGAAACCGAAGCAGCTTATTATTGTTCATGGATCGGCGCAAGCTACACGACATCTTGCCCAGTACTGCTATGACAATAATATCGCGCAGGTAGTTAATCGAATTTCCATAATACGGAATATAAATTGTTTCATTTGTTGTCAGTATAAGTTTTTACATCTGGCTGGATCTTGGCAGTTCACATTTTTTCATGGGTGAGTCAACCCCCATAGTTGTCTGTACCTACAAGGATTATTTGCCATTATAAGTGGAAGTTTTGTTCCAGATTTATCCTACTATGTCTTACTCTGTACCATTTTCGCGTCTTCGCTTTTCGCCTGGTTGAGAACATTGCTTCACAAAGACACGGACGCGATCTAACAATTTGTACTGAATTTCTTTAGTCGCAAATTTGCTCGAAAAAGATTTCGATTTCACCTAGTGCAGAAACAAGAGGAATCCCAACGCGCCTATAGTGGTTTTCAAAAGTATAGAGACATGCTGAGAAAAAGTCGGGTAGAAGGGTAACGGTTTGTGGTATTTTGCAGTTTGAGTGCAAAGAATTCAACAAAGTATTGTAGGGAGCAAGCGTTGACTCGGAAAAGCCGATTTCAGATTCGCGCTGCTTTTGAAGTGCACTGTAGATGGGTTGAAGCATTAACCTAAAGATTTGGGATTCTAGGAATTATCATGATAGGGCACATAGTCTATTGCTAATGCATAGCAGTGGTGTGTGTGTGACATTTCGTCCTTCATCCGTACAATTTCACTATTCTCAATTTTACAATTTTACTATACTACTATTGAGAGCTTAACTTTTGTTAGGGTCACATCTTCGCTCCTTCTGTTGGCGAGGTTGTCGATGCAACTGTGGCCTCCCATATCTACAGAATCTTACTAAGCGATGAGCTGTTTGAGAGCCTGGAATTTATCAAGGTACTTTTATTGAGCAGCATAATTCAAAGACTGGATCAAGTTTCTAACTGTATCTCGTTATTTTGGATTTCTAGTGGTGTAAAATCGAGGTAAATATAGCGTAAGCAAAACTCTTCTCTCAGCGGAGGCAATTTTTCCCTGTTCAGGTGAAGGACGCTGACTTGGCCTGGATAGATGCTCAAATAACGGCCAGGCCCACAGAAACAGGAATGGACAGAGAAAACGGCGCTAATGTGAGTTCATGCATTCCCGTTTTGGCTATTGGTAGTTGTCATTCTTTTCTTCCCCGGTGAAAGTTGTATCATTTTTTTTTGCGAAAGAAATGGTTTTTTGAAGATTCCTTCGCGATAAGGATTTCATTTTGCTCCCATCATTAATAATTTTTTTCCTTATGCTCCTTTTGTATTGATTCCCATTAGAAACCCCTGGCAATCCTCTGTAGAAGTATAGATTTGATTATGAATTTTACAATTGTTTTGCTTGCTTTTTCCCTTTTCTCAGGGGACTGCCTCAGAATAGAAGTCAGCTAAATCAGCCTGAGTAGTGGTGGACTAAATCACCTAGTTCTTTAATTCTTTTTCCTATGCTTGAATGCCTCCCATTGAATTCATGCAAGTTGGCAATAACGATTAAATGGTGATAAATGATTGTTTGTATTTAGTCAGATGTACGGCCAATGGATATTGATCAACACATTGACAAATGCATGTTGAGCACACTCAGTGGAGATGCGCCGTTCCGCGATGTGAGTTATGATTTTCTTTCCTTATTTTTCGGTTCAATTTGAGAGAGAGAGAGNTTCTCCACGTCATATGGTTTTGCAGGTGGTATATGTAAATGATCCGAAGCTTTCTGAAATGAAACAACTACTGATTAATATGGGCTATTCTGCTGAGTTCTCATCAGGAGTTTTGTATATAGGAGGTAAGTGTATTGCATTTTCCACGTTTTTGATTTATTTACAAGGGAATGCACCTTCAAATTGAAAGTATGTTTTTATAAATAATAATGCCATCAGAAATGAAGCATTTGTATATCTCAGTAACGATGAAAGCAAAAGGAAATCACCCTGACAATGAAGCTAATTGGCTTGATTTCATGTTTTTTTTTGTACACAAGTAAGTGCAAATACACTTTTATTCGTATACTATACTGCACTCAGAAAGAAGCTCTTTTGAGTCAGCGACCTCATGCTCGCTTTTCACGTATTGTGACCGTGGTCTGTTTGTGATAGCAATCGCACTGACAGTACCAACATAAGAGTTCACCGATTAATATTCAGTAAATGCGTTTCTAATATGTCTGCATGTGGTCTGAGGTGTAATAAGACGTGATTAGTTTCCCTATGCCGTCGCTTTTTTGCCCAGCAAGTCACGTTCACAAAGTGTGATGGTTGTACAGAATTTTGGAGCGGCCCTCGGCTTCAGGAGCGGCTCCTCGACTTCACTCCAGAAAGCTGCTCTGCAATTCTTTTTGATTCCCTTAAATCATACACCCGATAACAGTCACATAACTAATGCTAACCAGATACATCGACCTTAAAAAGCAGGCTATCCTGAGTGAGGTTTTTAGGCTTCAAAGGTCAAGGTTATGAAGTAATGCTTCTGATAATATCTAATCTAATATGAACATCTGGTTCTGGCTCATCACAACGGTTCTCTCCCCGTCAACCCTTTTCTTGCGTATTCTTGCCTTGGTTTTGTTTTGCCTGCCTGCTTCCCGTCTATGCTTGATAGAAACGTTTGTAGAGCCTCACTCATTTGTGCTAAGGTTCGCAGATTGGGCAAATCCACCCGCAGCTGCTCGCTCATGAAATGAAACTCTAGTAAGCAGACGCTCCATATTTCGATTGTAATCTATTCCAGGAGTGATCTCAATTCGTCGTAATGAAGCCGGTCGATTCCACATTGAAGGATGCGCTGGCCCGTTGTACCTCAAACTACGAGATATAATCTTGGAGCAATTCATGGTCCTTTGACCACTGTTTGAGGCCATTTTCAGGCATTATTGTTCAGTTGTCTGTTGGTTTCCTCATTATTGTTATACATACGTGGTGCAATTTGACATGGGTATAGAGATAAATTAATGAAATCTCTTTATTTACATATTTCATGGAAGGATAAACACGTACAGAAGAAAAAAATCAACGAGTGGAGAAGTGAGTAAATGATATTATGTAATATCATATATTTGGCAGAGCAGGGGCTTATTCGCGCGCGTACACATTGTATGTGTACAAGGATGGAGAATATATCAGTTGATATATTCACAGTAATGATGTAGATCAACAATAAGTGAAGTTTTAGGTAGATTCACGTGTGGTAACAGAGGCGGTCTACGAATGGGTGTGGTTACTTTTTCCATCTGGTAGAAAGACTACGAGTGTTGGTCGCTTCGTCCCAATCTGGCCAATACATCTCCTTCATTCGATTAATGAAGCCTACCTGAAAAAATTGAGTACAATCTAAGACATACCTAATTAGCAAGTTAAAAGTTGCTATCACAGAGAATGTAGCGATCGCAATACGTTAAAACTGAGCGCACGGTCGCAAAATGCTTAATCCTGCCCTCCAAACACTGAAGCGAAAGCTCAAAACAATTGATAGGCAGTTGGTTTGGCGCACTTTTTTAACCCATGCATGACGAAGGCTACCTATATGGTTTTTCAAAAAGTAACTGACCAAGTTCGCATTATGCTGTTCCATATGTGTTTTTATTTCGGGCGAAACGAGAGGAGTGTAAAGGAACTGTACCAAGTGCGCAAACATCGTGCAGTCCAACTAAAAGTAGTAGTAGTAATCAAGCCCTGAGAAAGAATATTTGCCTACCGTGGCCGGCCTGTCACCGAAAAAGAATTTCTTGTTTCCAAGGAACATGCTTATCGCGTCGAGATCCTTTTTCGCCAGTATCACCACCTCGTCAGGTGTGTTACGCCCCATTCCTTGTGCTGTCGCTTGGGCCATAATCTGAAATAGACATGCCGCTTGGGAGACACGTTCACATTCACTGGGTGGTCATCGTATTACTAAGCAAATTGCTCATGATTTTTTGAACAAAAATCTGGGAATGATTTTTGTAACCCTTATGCTGTTGCGCCTGTGGCAGGGGACTGAGCAGTTGATGCGATTGTGGCCATGCTGGCTCAGTACGCGAACTATGAGCATGAATATTAACATAAGTTCGGCGTCGTCTCGTGATTAGTTCCGGAATGTGCCTACGATCGCGATTTGGGTAAACCTATTGGCCTAAGGACTGTGGCAGGTTACGATATCTCAACGATTACCCCCTGGTAGAGAACATAGACCGTGCATGACTCGAGTAAGCAACGGTCCTGAATCTTGCCCCCACACAGAAAATAAGGCACGAAAGCAGGTCTATTGACGATACCCAATGAACTCACTTTCTTCCGTAGTTGGTCGCACATGATGTTCTTGAAAGCAAATTTCTTGATTCCACTGAAATAAGGTATAAACCCTTGTTCAGTTGCGAACCACTTGTTATCACGACCGCGTTGATACATCATTACCCTGAAAGCCGTGTGTGTTGGTGTATTGAAGTCTGAGTGTGCTAAACGATATTAGGCCTACCAACGCAGACTATCCTCTACCAGAGCGTGATAGGCTCTTGCATATGACTTTTCCATCGGTGTCAGACGATCATCAATGCTCTTCTGAATGAGAGAAGTTGAACCACTGATCGTCGTGAAAAACTCATCAACGTTTTGAATCAAAATGAAAGGGGCATGTGAAACGGTTGCAAGTGTGGGCACTTTGTCGGCTTTACTAACCTACACTTACCTTATTAAATTCCTCAATGAGATGATCAATGATGAAGTTACTGTCAGCCACCTGCCTACCGTTCACCTCGACGAACGGGATCTGACCTTTGCTTGACATTTTTGTGAATTCATTGCTGATATTCTGAAATCACTTGCAATTTCTGATTAATTCCGCTAAGACGAAGTGAGGAACCCACACAATCTTCTTTGAAAAATCTACATTATCCTCCATGTTCGGTCTTTTTGAAACCTGGGCATATTACACAATCTTTTTCACTGTTTCGCCGTACTCGTTTTCACTCAAAAGCCGCTGAATCTATTAGATCCCTCGGGTTAACAGTGAAACCAGTTAGTCGAAACGTCGATCTAATAGAGCGGTTCGATCATAACAAACCTATACGGCAAAATAGTGAAAAATCTCGTTCAATTTGGAAGAGATGGAGGTGGTATGATGTGAACGCCAGCGATGGGTGAGAGGGCGTGATAATGGGGGGGGGGGGGGGGGGGGGGACGAGCGATTCGTGCGATTCTGGGCGTGCGCGGCAAATTGCGCGGCGAAATTCGCGATGATTCAAACAACTCTGGCGTCTATCATTGGAGCACAAACTTGAACTAGAGTACTTTAGTAGGGTCGGACAATCCTACTAACCTACTTTACTTCAAATTTGGGCCCAGATGATAAACGTTGCAGTCGTCAAAATCGCACCGAATTTCGCCGCCCAATTTGTCGCGCGCACCCAGAATCGCACGAATCGCAACACACCCAATAATGGGAGGGGCTGATAAGCGAGAGCGAATAGAGTACTTGCGTCTTTTGCATTGGTATCGGAGCAAGGGCAGTTTAAAGTGATGCGTTAATTGTGATGAGATCGAATATCACGGGTGATAGACACTTCGTAACAATTGAAAGGTAATTAGAGGCCTTACAAGACAGAAGCCGCTGAACCTATTAGGCTGCTCGGGTATAGTGAAATTGTGGAGTAGCGGGTGTAGTAGATAGTTCTAGCGCCCGCTGCTACGTATTCTAGAGTTTTCGGAAGGAAAAACTCGGAAATGTCTCACACCCGAGGCAACGCCCTGTTTTCGATATGCTCGGGTTTTTGTATCCTATCTAAATATAAAGCGCTGATTATGTGTCCGTTTGTGTCGTTTTTGGGTCAGTCCGCAAAAAATTCACGTAGGTGCGCTGAAGAGTATGAAATCCGCCTATTATGAGATTTGAGGCCTACTTATACTGTTTATATTGATCCCCTAATCAATAGGAATGCAAGGTGGCGTTATTTGCTGAAAATCATGAGCTTCATTCTTTTTTAGCAGCATGGGCCTTACTTGGTTCTTTTCAATCCCAGGACGATCAAATCTCTAGAAAAGAGAGGGGTTCAGGGAGGGAACTTCTACTTTGGCATCAGACCTCGTCAAACAATCTGTTCCGTTCAATCTCTATTGCACAAATTGTTATAGGTAACATCTAGCGGAATTTTGGTTGCAACTTCACATGATGGCTACGTACTTTGAGAAACCCTTTACTCTTTAATACTCCCCTCTAGAAGCGCCATTTCCAGAAATGAAGCTTAAGCGCAGTTTTTGGTGAGGCACTATCGTGTATACTGGCATGAAAAATGCTTCTATGTTCTTCATGAGTAAGATCGTAGATAATCGGTTGTGGACGTCCAATGCACGCGATACGTGCGTAGCACAGCTGGTAGTAATGATAGTATTATGGCAATAGTCCACTGTGTAATTCTTCCTTTTCTGAGTCCCCTAGGCGTAGCGATATTTCCAAGACAGGCAATGAAGGGTTCCAGGTTGCAGCAGCCATTCGGTTTGACTTGATGCATAATGACGCAAGCATTTTCTAATCCCGTTCGCAAACCTACATTCCAAACTGTGTAACAATACGGGAGCATATTGCCCGTGTGATACAGACCCCTCACGCCTTCGTCCCTAGGATAGTTTCGCAGATAAGCAGTAAAAATTTTGAGATTAACCTTGCAAAACAAATATTGCAGTATTTATTTTGTTTTGAATGTTCCTTGCGGCCTAGTACCTTCCCTAGTTAGAACAAAGCTGAGTTAATATGTAATCCGACTCACCGTGTACGGGATGTCGGCCATTCGTAGCCATGTTTCCACTTTTAGTGCAAATGGTGAAGGTGATGGTATGCAACCAGCTCGTGGGAACTGAACCAGGTAGACATGGTCTTTTTCCCAGTCGCGCTTCAGAAGTCGAGCACCAGGCATGCTGCAAATTGCAAAAATGATCTATTTTCGATATTTCCTAGTCGCGACCACGATGGTTAGCACTTCAATCGAATGGTCTTGAACAATACCTGAAGAGAGGTATAGATGCAACCCAAATCCAATGAGAACTTCGGATCAACTCGCGATAGAATAGTGTATTTATTAGGTTGTTCGGAAAGTAGTTCCGATTTTAGATTTCATAGCTATAGTCATAGTTATTTCATAGTTCTTTTCTCATAGAACTTCATATAATTGGGCCAAAAAACTAGACAATTAATACTTGATATCCTCATTTCCAACGAAGGTTTTCTCATACAAGTCGGAGTGCCGCACTAACCGACATAGTTAGGAGATGGGATGTCGCGAAATCAGGAGTACATAATTTATGAAACATTTACTTCCATCCATGCTTCGATAATTTTGCCGAGTCACCAAACTGTATAGCCTCGTCATAGTCTAACATTACTCCTTTGCGACTCGCTAATTTTTCAGGGCTGCTCTATGGAGTTCTCATAAGATGAGGTCCAAGTTATCATACTGGGAATTACTCAAAACTATATCACACCCTTGTTATTCCACCAAATTAGTAGCGATGGTGGAGATCAGCTTTGGACCTCGTTTGAGCAGGATCAGCACCATGATTGTCTGTGAGCAATCAGAGCGTGAACATCCCGACTTTCATTAAAAGCCGCTGTTCGCTTTATAAATGGGTGGTTCTCATTGCGTCAGAAGAGCAACTCTCAGACACCAACTCGAGTGAATCTCTTTGAACTCATGCTGCACCTGAGCATGCAGCGTTTTTCACTAGTTCACATTTTCGATATTCTCATTGACCATCCCGTGGATGCGTAAGTCTTCTCAGTAGGTCCTTACATGGGTTACAGAAGGCTCGGCTCCGTTCAATACCATCAAGTAAAATTTTGCTGGAACGAAGGATTGTGAACCAGTTTCTTACGTGCTCTGTAATAAGACATTGTCTGGTTATGTTTTACTTATATCGTGAAAACAACTAGCAGGTTTTCAACCACAATTGACCTTAAAAGGTGAAATGTGCCGAAAATGCTTTGTCTGACACCCCATGTTTGAATTAGTCCTACATTACAAATGGAAATGAATTGCACTCAATTTTCTATCAAAAAAAGTACCAGTATACACCTAAAATTTAATGCATATAGGAAGCGTTCAAGCTTTTACAATCTTTCAGAACAGTTTACAAGGAAGTCTTTTCTAAAATCGTAATTACTTCCCGAGTAACCCAGAAGAATTATTTCATAAGTTAAAAAAATGGGAATGGAATGCATCGAATGAATCAGTCGATAAGAAGCCATGATAGAAGCTTGTGAAGGTCTTTGAAGGAGCGAGTTCCCGATTTTGTTTTGAGCCATTTAGATTTCTTATTCGTCATATAACTTTTGCCGCTCTCACAAAAGGCTTTAAAAGTGTATGGTAATGGCTTGTATTGTTTGCTTATCACAGTCGTCCTTAGTAAGAGTAGTTTCTACTCTAACTACGGACGAATATGATGAGCAAACAGAGTCTTATGATATTTTCAACATCACACCTGCTCAAAGCCCTCATTAGGTCCAAACTGATCGCCTATTTTTCATGTTTGGAGATTAGGTCGTAGTTATCCATCACCTCTGACGAAGGCGCTTGACTGAAGCATTATAACGTAAAAGTAAATTATTGTTTCGTTTTTGACAGCTTTAACGACAACAGCTTGCTTCATAAATTGGCAACATTCACTGGAAAGTTATTTCATGGACCGTTACGGTATTAGCGACATCGATCTATCACCGGTTTGTAGACACAAAACGAATGAAAACGGATTGCGTCTACAGTATTTGCAAAAATTTCATTTTGAGCCATTAATCAAATCTCACTGTGGGCTATCAATCACGGCCAGTGTTGATAAGGACTGCTCATGTTCGACCTTTTTGCAAACAGCGTGATTTTAAGTAAAGAATTTTGTTCTTACAGCTATACAAGAATAAATTCTGTATTAAGCCGAGGTTTCGGCAGCTTCGCCTTCGTCAGAGCCTGAAATTGTCCAAAGTATATGCGACTCGCTTGTTCAAACGCCTCAACAGAAACGCTAAGATTCTTTGACTAGTCTTGCAGGCTTTAAGAAATATATTGATAGAGAGAGGCACGGGGTTGCTCTCTTTGAGGTCCGTCGCTAAGGCACTAAGGCGACACAACCTAGCACTGAGTTAACCCGTGATACCTCCAACTGATGTTAGTGATCCCGAACCAACCAGAACGAATGATAAATCGCTACCCCTGGTCGAACTCTGCAAGTCGTCGAAGTGCTTGGATTTGCCTTTGACTGCTTCTAATTTATGAGGTGGATATCTATGTAATTCATCTGATACTAACGGTGGAAGGGTGGTGCTGCCAAAGTAGAAATGCTATGAGAATCATGCTTCGCTTAAGCTACTCAAACTGTGAGACATAAGGACGCATGAAGGCACGCAGTGATTTTATGTACCGTTGCTAGATGAAAGCTTCGTCACAGTAGAATGTGCCAGTAACGAAGAGAACGAAAGTTGACTTCAATAATGGGTGCGCCGCTTGACACACCCATTATTGAAGTCTTTGTCTACAATGGGCGTTTAAAAGAAGAATCAACGATTCAATTGAGGGGTCGTAACCATTTTTATTGCTAACGGTGTCCTTGAGTTGAACTTGTAAGAGTCCTTCCTCATGGCAGCCTGCAAGTCCGAATAAGAATTCGAATGAGACTGTCTCCAACTTCTCTCTTGTTTTAACCTCGGCATAGCTGTTGTTTGTTAGGCCGTTTGACTGAATAAAGTGTTCCACCTAAAAACCTCGTGTGGCACAAGATAATAATTATCGAATGAGACTATTATTTAGAGAGGGAAAGTCAATGCTTATCGCACAACAAGGTAGTACATTGAAGCTTTTACTTTTGGTTGGCAATGATCAATATTACCTCGTCCCGTCCCAATCAAGCAAGGAAATTAAAAAAGTTTTTATTCACCTCTCAGAAATTTCCACTACCTGTTGAGCTATGCACGCTAACGCGTGCATCAGAAGTCCGAAAGCGCTTGTTCACTATCTTGACCAAAAAGTCCATAGAAACCGTTTTCAGGGTCCTTAAGCACGATACTGCTCAACCCGCAAATCCGTTAAGGTTTCATTTCTGGAAATCACGCAGAGTAAAGTGCTTTGTATTTAAGCGTTCCTTCGAACCACCATGATCGCTTACACTCGAAATTCCGTTCCGCTTGAATTTAATTATAGGAATTGCTCAGCAGAGATGTAATGGGAAGCAGCAGAGTGAGTGGGCGATGCCTGATGCCAACCGATGCCAATGTAAAAGTTTTTCCACCTGACGCCTTCTTCCTAAAAGTGTGATCACCTCGTGATTGAAATTGAACAAATAAGGCCTTGCTACTTCATAAGGGAGGGAAGTTATGATTCCCAGTTAATGACGCCACAAAATGATCCGTATAGGTTAGGAGATCATTACAATACAGCGCCCACGTGACATTTTCCCATTTCTTTCGATTGTCTTTCGGTGATGGAACAAAGGTATAGACAAAAGGCCTCCTAATCGACTTTTTCTTATCAGTTTCTATCTTTGCACAAGAATTTTCCCTCAAGGTTTCATTTACTTCAGAAGAATTCTCCTTATCGACCACATAAGTTCCAGATAGTCTCCCTAGTTATTGCCCTGACGCTATATCACAGTTGGCTAGCTGTATATTGTTCAGGAGCACATTTGAACATTGGTTTTTCAAGATGCTCAAGTGAATAGCATATGCTCAGTAGCTGAGCTGGATTGAGGCATGAACACCTGACGTTTGGATTTGAGCCAAGGGGTCGTTGACCAAGCTTCCACAAACGTCAGTATTAGCAGAAAAAGAACGACAGCAAAACACCAGCCCTCCCGGTGTGCCACTTCGTTCTACCTCGAAAGGCCTTTTTTTGAGCAGCGGAAATTGCACTATTGTAAAGCCGTGGAGAAATAAGTTGGTGTAAAATTATCGTCATTGAGACTGAGCATCTCGTCAAGCAGGAAGTTGAGATGAATGTACTCGATTCAAGTCATTTTTCAAAGTCAGCCAAGTCAAAGCATGATAAATACATATTATGTGAAGGTTTCCCGATGAGGACGCATGTGCGTTGTGAGAATAGCTCAAGCCTATCAAAATCTTTCGTTTTTTGTGTATGTAAATTTACTTATCTCTTCTCCAACAAACTCTGCCGTCCCATCCTCTTTCACCTCAAAATTTCTATCATTTGATTTTTTGCCGGGCGGACTTCTTTGAATAATACGACATCCCCTAAATATTTTGCACTGAGACTATGTAAGATCGTGACCTCATTAGTGAAAGAAGTAACAGCCGAAACAAATCACAGGCTATTGGTAAACTGATAGGTTTATTTGCTGGCACTACTATCAAACCAGCGAACGTCATTACCACATGAAAGTAGAGCCGCTAGTAATAATAGAAAACAAGGGTGCGCATTCAATCAATAACTGATAGAATTGGCTAACGCTAAATCTCAAAGCCTATAGGTAGTGTCGGGCGATCGATGTTCTGCCAGTTACATCTCTGATGAACTCGGATCCACTGAGATCAACAGAACCATTTCCCAGACTTGGTTTGCTGACACTATACTAGCCCGAGAAGTCCGTGTGTCGCTGTTACAGTTATAATGGATTACCATAAGGTCTTTCGCGATGTTTCCTAGAGAATCCCGGCCATCCCACCTAACTCTTCAACAAGTGGTCACCCTTCAGAGCGAAATACTAACCATTAGAATTGCCATGCTATGCTAAAGGTGGCCTGTTGCAATGAAACGAGGGAAAGACGAACAAGATCTTCAAGACTCTATGTGAAAGTTGATATGGAAAGGTCTAACAGGTTGCTCAGACCACAGAACCAAACAGAATGTAGATAGTTACAGCATAAGGTGCTAAACAAGCTTTTGAATGCTGTGACACCAAGCTTAGGTGAGAAAAAGCCG